ATTTCAAAATTATTTTAAATTAAGTAACTTTAATTAAATAATAAGTTAAAATGAAAGTAAACCCTAAACCCCGTTCTTGATCGTCGATAATTGCTGAAACCCAGGTTACACGCGAAACCCTGGACACCAAACTACCTAAATCCTAAAGCCCCCTGTACCCCCTGTATTCCTTAAGCAAAGCACACACCAAAACTTGACAGGACCCTTCAATGCACCCGGATGACCCTTGGATGCAACGATCAGGCCAGGCACTGCATCTAAGGGTGTTTTGTGTGCATCCAAGGGTCATTGAGGGGTACTGGTCTGGTGGGATCATCGCCTTTGCTTCTGTCCCAGTGCCAGTCACTCGTCGCGAAGTTTGAAGTTGTCAGCAAGTGCTGCATTCAACTTAAACTTTGCATTCAAGGCTCCAGGCACCAAGGCACCCAGGCTCTCAGGCTCCAAGGCCTAGTAGAGTGTGCATTTTGACCCTACCCACACAGTGTACGCTGCCGTTACGTCGCTGTGGGCACCGTTGGCCGGGTGTCGGGCCGCAGGAACTCAGCCTTGAGGCCAACCTGCCAAGGCAGTGGCAGATGACAGCTGGGCCAATGGGCTAATGCTCCAGCTGGGGCAAAATCTGGGCCAGGGATCCTGTTGTCCCGCCAGATTGTTCCTGCAATGAGGGGGAGGCTTTACTGCTGGGATCATCGGCTTTGCTTCTGTCCCAGTGCCAGTCACGCGTCGCGAAGTCTGAAGTTGTGCAAGTGCAGAATTCAAACTTTGCATTCAAGGCTCCAGGCCCCCAGGCCCCCAGGCGCCCAGGCTCTCAGGCTCTCAGGCTCCAAGCCCCTGAGGCTGCATGTCTACCAGCCCTCCGTGCGTCTCCAAGCACTTTGAGGCAGTGGCTGGATGGCTGGGGTTCGGGCTTTCAGAGTGCCACCGATGCCAGCACGTTTTGGTCTCGGGGCGACCAAGCTTCCACAAAGATTGATACAAGTCTTCAAACTCGTCATTGTTGTTCATCGATGATAGTTGAAACCCAGGTTACACTCGAAACCCTCGTTACCAAACCACCTAAATCCTTAAAGCCCCCCTGTACACCCTGTAAATTCCTTAAGCAAAGCACACACCAAAACTTGACAGGACCCTTCAATGCACCCGGATGCCCCTTGGATGCAACGATCAGGCCAGGCACTGCATCTAAGGGTGTTTTGTGTGCATCCAAGGGTCAATTGCTGAAACCCAGGTTACACTCGAAACCCTCGACACCAAGCCACCTTTATCCTAAACCCCACCCTGTACCACCTGTATTCCTTCAGCAAAGCACACACCAAAACTTGAAAGGACCCTTCAATGCACCCGGATGACCCTTGGATGCAACGATCAGGCCAGGCACTGCATCTAAGGGGGTTTTGTGTGCATCCAAGGGTCATTGAGGGGTACTGGTCTGGTGGGATCATCGCCGTTGCTTCTGTCCCAGTGCCAGTCACTCGTCGCGAAGTTTGAAGTTGTCAGCAAGTGCAGCAATTTAAACGTTACCGTTGCATTCAAGTCTCCAGGCACCCAGGCACCCAGGCTCTCAGGCTCCAAGGCCCAGTAGAGTCGCTGCCGCCATGATTCCAGGCACTTTGAGGCAGTGGCTGGACGGCTGGGGGTCCGGCTTTCAGAGTGCCACCGAGGCCAGCATCGGTGCCACTCATGCCCGTTTTGGTTTCGGGGCGGCCAAACTTCCACAAAGATTGTTGGTGGGAACTGATTGCAGTGGCATTGATGCACCGATCCATGGCCTTAGGGAGCTCGGCATCACGCACCAGCATTTGTTTGGGAGTGAGGTGGCTGCTGGTCCTCGGTCGGTTATCGAGGCTAATACCAAGCCCTCGGTACTGTTCCACAGTGTCCTGGATGCTGCCAAGGCACCGTTCGTTCACCTGTACATTGCCGGCTTCAGCTGCAAGCCGTTCAGCCTGCTCCACAATAAGTCAAGGCTCCTCAAGGAAAAACAGGCTCAGATATTCTATGGGGTCGTTGCACGCATCCAACTTGTGCGGCCCTCGTGCTTCGTGCTGGAGAATGTGTCAGGCATCAAGCGTGTTTCTGCAAAGGTTCTGGCGGCACTCAGGTCCACAGGCTATCATGTCGAAATGATTTTGATGAACCCTGCCGAGCTACAGGAGCCCATCCAGAGGCCTAGGTACTACTTCATCGGGGTCCGGCAAGATGTGAGCCTCATCTCGCCAAAGGACATGTCGTGCTGGCTTCGTGAGGCTTGGGCGGAAGTCCAGGATTCAGTTGCTTCCGGAGACGCAGTCGATCTTTTGGATAGACTGCTACCGGCGAGCCACCCTGCTGTGGCACAGTACCAGGAAAGCCGCAAACGGAAGTGGTCGCAAGCTTCCAACCGTGGGTTCCCAGGCTCCCAGGCTCCCAGGCTCCAGGCTCCCATGCTCCAAAGTGGAAAGAATTGCACAAGATGTGCAAAGCTTCAATGCAGCAGGGCAGCCGGTTGAAGAGTGAGAGTCGGAGGCCTTGCACTGAGAGCGGAGTCGCCTGCTGCGCAGACACGTTGTTCCTGCATTTGCCGCGTGAGCGTGATGCCTGGGACATCATTTGCACAACGCATGCAGGCAGTAAGGAGCTTGTCGCGGATGTATCCCAGAATGTGAACCGAGCCCGGGTGCGGACCGATGGCTCCCTGCCTACTGTTACACCTGGGGCCGTACTGGTATCCGCACGAGCTGGAAGGATCATTAGCCCGCTTGAAAAAGTCATGCTGCACGGTTTTCCAATTCACCGTATGGTTTTTCCGAGCAAAGTGACCGACAAGGAGCTCGCCAGCATGGGCGGCAACACGATGCATGTGCAGATTGTGGCCGTGGCAATGAAGTTTGCGCTTGCGTTGGTAAACTGGAGCCTGCCCAAAGCTTCCCGGCCGACAGCCTTGTGCAGCACCGTTGCTGCGCCAAGCATAACTGCTTCAGTTGTGCTCGGCGCAGCAGCGAAATGCCGCAAGCGCCATGGCAAGCCACGGAAGGCTCCCAAGGCGCGAAAGGCTGCATCGGCGCAGAAGCCTCCAAAGGCACCAAAGGCTCCAAAGGCTCAGAAGGCTGAAGGCATGTCAGCTTTGGCAAAGCGTTGGCAGAAAGTCTTGAGACCGCAGGCAGCAAAGAAGTGCTCGAGGAAGGGTGCCACGGCCACAGTGGCGTCCCGTCTTGCCCATCGCTGGGCAAAGTAGTAGTCATTAATTCGTCATATTATGACGGAGAATGGCATGCGTTTTCTAATTTGGCCACTCGGAGTTGGCATCATAGACTGACTTAGGTGAGGCCGGGTGCAAAATTCGGGAAAGCCTGCTCCGAGCAGTACAGATTATTTGGACTGGGTCACCCTGCCGCCTCCCAGTGAAACAAACCGCCGCAGTGTGCATAGGAGTTCGCAGTGTTGTGCCATTCGGGCTGCTTGACTCGGGGTAATACCCTCACGTCTGCCAGGCAGCTGCTCGCTGTCGGATCGAACGGGAAGCTGGAGGCGCGGTTCTCGGGTTAGTCGGAGTCGGTTGGACCAGTTGCAGAGTCTGATTCAGTTCCAGTCTTAGCACGGTTGCCACGGTTGCGTTTGCTTGTCATCGTAAGTGCTTCGCGGTCGCTTCAGGCTCCCAGGCTCAAGGCTCCAAGGCCCCCAGGATTTCAATGCCAGTGGGTAGCCGCACCCTGCGTGGTCTTGCCGCTCGGTTCGGACTACGCTCCCGGAAGCAGGACCGGACGCCGGCAAAAAAAGACGAGGTCCACAAGGATCCGTGCCTGCGGCCCCGAAGAAGCTTCGGCTCGAGTCCGGCGAAGGCCTGGCTCAGGAGGGCGACGACGACACCGGAAAGGGATGTGGCGATGTTGGTCTCGCGACTGAGAGCGATGCAGAGCATTTGGCTCGCCATCGTGGTGGCGACGAGAAATGCAGCCGATGCAAGCTGCCCGGTTCAGAAACCCTAATTTTAATTTAAATTATTATTTAATTTATTATTTAATTTTAATATTTACAGAAATTTAAATCATAAATGGTCTTATTATTAATAGGGTTTCTGAACCGGGCAACTAGACATACTACATACATACATACTTACATGCCTGCCATGCATGCATACACATTACATGTCAATCTATTTTTTCATTTTGGTTATTTATCATCTTGCTGTCGTGTTTCTCTCTCTCTCTCTCTCGGTGGCTCTCTCTCTCTCTCTCTCTCTCTCTCCGTCGCTCTCTCTCTCTCTCTCTCTCTGTCTCTCTCTCTCTCTCTCTCTTTCTCTCGTTCTCTCTCTATCTCTCTCGCTCTCTCTCTCTCACTCTCTCTCTCTCTCTCTCTCTCTCTCTCTCTTTCTCGTGCTCTCCGTCTCTCTCTCTCTCTCTTTTTCTCTCTCTCTCTCTCTCTCTCTCTCTCTCTCTCTCTCTCTCTCTCTCTCTCTCTCTCTCTCTCTCTCTCTCTCTCTCTCTGTTGGATCGTTATTGTTTGTGGCAGACTTGCTACTTGACTATGTTGCAGTTGCTGGTTGGTTCTTGCTTCCGGCATTCTCGACTTGATCTCGTCCGTTTGCATACAATCCCAACATGTCAGTCAGGTTCCTTCGCTTCCAGGAAGTTTGGAGCAAAGCCGGAAGCCTCACCCACACGTCTTGGGGCAAGCAGCAGCGGACAGTTTGGCTGGGCCAGAGACCAGCTCGCCGAGGAGGCGATTGGGGCATCGGCTGTCACTTTTGTGCACACTTGATGAATGTTTTGGCACAGAACCCAGCAGAGCGGAAGAGGTTGCAGTCCGGCCGAATTGTGCAGTGTAGTGCGAGCGGATAGCCCCTTTGTGATCAAATTAAGGCTGACCGTGACCAGCCCAACTTTCGCAGCCCTAAATGCCTAAGGCTGGGCAGTCGCCTCTCTACCAAGTGGGGTGCCTATGAGGTCCGATCAAGGACCGCATCATGTTGTCGTTGTCAGCTGTGATTTAAGGCATCAGTCGCAGACTTTGGCAGGAGTGCGATGCAGGCATGCTGCATACACGCTCACAGCAAGACCTTCGTTCACCAGGTGGCCACGAAGGTTTACCTAGCTCCTGACACGCCGATCTCACAGTGCTTGCCTTACAGCATCAAGCATCAGCACCTCTTCTCCGGCAACGTTCCTCAGCCGGCAGATTGGCTGCGAGCGTGGCGGGCGTGCCGGACAGCATCTTCTTTCAAAGGTGCCGTGAAATTCTATTCCACGGAAGACTTCGCTGCTGGCAGGAACACGAAGCTTGACAGTGTGAGCCAGGATGCAGCACTTTAAAAGGCCTAAGGTTTCAGATTGTTGACATTTTATTTTGGCACATTTAAATTTAAAATTTGACAAATAATTTAATTAATCATCTGAGGTCTCAAGAACATGATTCTTGTTATGCACTGGGCTGTCAAGAGTGTTCGCAAGCAGCGTCTCGAACAAGCCACCAGCATCAGCTTGTCCG